GCTATACCTGCATTGTTAACAAGTACGTCCATACCTCCATATGTGGTGTTGAGAAAATCTCTCAGACGATCAATACTGGCTTGGTCGCTGATGTCAAGCTGATGGAACTTTGGAGACAGTCCCTCTGAGTTTAAGGTCTGGACAGCATGTTTACCTAGCTTTACATTCCTGGCAGTAAGATACATATCCCCATCAAACTTTTTACAGAGGCCCCGAACAATGGCATACCCTATTCCCTTGTTAGAACCTGTCACCTGAAAGGTAAATATTTATTTTATTTATCCTTTTGTAGAAAAGTAGTACTAAACTATGGTGACATATTTCTACACCCCCTCCCTACATGCAAGATTATTTATATCAACATGTGAGAAAAGTATGTCAACATGCAAAAGAATTGAAGATATGTTAAATTTAATTAATATTCAATTGTAGATAGGTACGATTGATTCGAAGATAGGTATAATAGAACTGAAGATAAGATACAAACACCAAGAATTAAAGATGGGTATAATTGAATTAAAGAAAGGTACAATTAAATTGAACCTAGGTACAATTGATTTGTTCCTATTTACAAATGCTTTATAAAGCTGCTTTAATTGTTCCTATCTTTAATTTAATTATACCTATCTTCAAATGATTCAAATGCTAGGTATAATTAAATTGAACCTATCTGTACATGTAACTGAATTGAAACTATCAGTAATGGAATTTAAGATATGTTTAATTCATTCAAACCTAAGTGAAATTGTTTAAAGATATTTACACTTATCCTTAATTCATTTAGATCTATCTTAAATTCAGTTGAACAATTTCTTATCTTTAATTCAATTGAAAATAGGTTTTATTATTTGAAGAAAGGTGCAAGTATTTTAATAAATGTTACTTTGAGGTTCCGTATATTTTCGTCCCGTTCTATTTTCGTCCTTTCCCACTAGAAAACAATTTTGCTCCATTTAAAAATCGCCCATATTGAATTGTGTTTAAGAGATAATGCTGTCTTCTTTAAATGCTCTCCGTCTTACATTTACCCCCTTGAAACGAAAGCGAAAGAAGCAAACATTTTTACGGGGGCGAAATATTAATTTTTACAGAATTTATGCGGACGGAGACTTTATTATAATCATATTATGTGCACTTTGAAAGCTTTATAAACGGCTCTTATGCTAACATATTAGCTTCTTATAAACAAGGGGAAAAAATCGATGAGGCAATTAGTTATTATGAAACGTATGACAGATGAATTCAAGGATGGTAGTACACCTACGGAGCAAATTGATTAATGTGTGTCCGTTCAAGTTTCCATACTTGAGTCGTTTGCTAATATTCCTTACATCGTATTATAACTAATAATAACATTTATAAAGTGTCTGACAGAGGTTTTCTGTGATAAGGTGTTACATATACAGGTAAAGGCTTGTGTTATCTGCAAACTTCTGTTTATCCAATAGATTATGACTGATAGAAGAATTATACTTATGTACAAGTAAAGAGCCAAGAAATGCAGAGGACTAAAATTAACTTACCACTGCTACCTTCTTGGACATATTTTTTAGCAAGGTTTAGTAAAGGCCTTTAATGTAACCACTGACTCTTAGAAGAAATGTTCCATGCTAAGTTTTAGGACAAATAGATGGCAAGTATACGATACGTCATACTTGACACTAACAAATAATCATTACAATTGGAACACGTAATTTGTTTATGTTTTAGTATGGTTTACCAAAGCTACATACGGTATTTTTTGGAAGTACGTCTCCTCTCTTTTTGGATTAAATGCTAAGATCGCCTGTTTATCTGTTTTCACACAAAATCGTGACCGCTCGAGCTCTATAAATGGAATGGGTTCATATTATACATTTATTGAGTGGGTATGAGGGCAACATATGATTTGCTGGACCTGAAGGTGAATATGTTGCACAAGGCCGCAGTCAATAACTGTATACTATATGATTTGTGATAAATAATTTCTGTATTATTATATAATTATTTTTTTTTATTCTTTGTTGTTGTCATTTTTATTTAAAAAGCCAAAATATTACTTATAAAGAAATAGTTTAATTATATGAGTAAATCTGTTTAAAGGTTTTAATTTTAGTGTTAAGGGAAAATCTTCGAAGGAGTAGCTATATTCAAATGAAGGTTTCATGATAAATATTATGACTTAAAACAAAGTTACAAAATTATGTAAGTTGTGAAGCCAAAAAGAATTATAGCTGATCCAAGAATGAATATAAATCAATTAAGATCTGGAAAATGAAATCTTATAAATGAACACATATGACGAGCTTAGTAAAATAACTCTTCATTTTAGAAGTAGAAAAGATTTTGCACCCCTTACGGAAAAAAGAACCCCCTTCACATTGGGAAAATTATGTACAGTGTAATTGAACTGAAGTGTGGGACTGGTGCATGATAGAAGTTGTGTCCCCTGTCAGGCTTCCACTACCAGGAAATGTACCTTCTTTTCTGTAATGCTGTTTCTTAATTCAATTAGGTGATACTTTTCTTACCGGATAAAAAAAAACTAAATCTCTGAAAAATCCTTGATCCGCAATTGTAGTATAAAACCAAACGTTTTTATAAATACTTTTTTTGCTTTTTAATAATTATAACTTACAGCTAAACGTAATTTCATTAGTGCTACAATTTAATTTAAATCATAAAGTGTATTTTTAGCACTTTGTTTTAGGTAGCGTTGATGAAATATTGCTCGATAACACGTATTAAACGAAAAAAAAAAATATTACGAACAAAACTTTAATATTGAATATCAAACGATGGGAAAAATTAAAATGACCTTGTCCTTTTGTTTTAGTTTGCATGCCCATTATTTCTAGAAACTTGGTATTGTCACCATAATGTTGCATAGTAGGAAAGCGCATACTCAATGGAAAGTGAACAGATTTAATAATTATTTGGTTAGTTGAAACAATCAACCTTTAGCTTTTATACCCAATTTTATATAGAATGTATAATATTCAACAAACATTATTTGATTTAAAATTGAGATTAATCTAAAAGGTGACAAGAAATTATAATTACATTTTAAAAGTTATATTGTAATTGGATAAAAACGAAACAAGCGTATCGTAGAATTTTAGTAAAATGTCCCACATCCTTTTACGAGATATTATTTGTATTCAAAGAGCATCGAAAAAAATTCTAAATAGCGTAAACCCATTGACTTCATATTTGTATATACAGGGGTAGTTTTGCATAAACAAGACCAAAATACGGCCGAATTGGACCGCTAGTTAAAGTAGTTGGTGATTATACTCTCAAAATGATCGATGACTTCTAATTGGCATTGCTTTACTTGGGTACCTAATTGTATGAAATGCTTAGTGATCAAACTCTTCCAAACTTGATCTTTCTTTTCAATCTTTTTTTCTGAGCTTTTCAAGATTCACCAAGATGAGCAATGTGTATTACATGTACATGTTTCATTCATTAAGAATGGAAACATAATGTTCTTTTGTAGTTATCGAGTGACTATGGCGAAGATTTTTTTTTAATGAATTTCGTCTTTTAGTTTCCAATAAAAATTCTTTTATTTTTCGATACTTATTTTGTGGAACACTGGGTTACAAGGACACAAAATGCCAGATCAACATCGTTGTAAGATATAGTTTTTGCCGGGGTGTTTTAATTATACATGAATTTATGAGAAGTAATTCCTGTCAATTATGAAGAAGCACATTGTTGATCAAAATTGCATAATATGCATTATGTTTTATTAAGGTAATGGAGGAAGATTTGGAAGAAAAAAAGCCCAGTTAATCATAAAACGATTGCTTCTTGATTACTTGTTCGTTCATGATTATTGACTCCAGCTGATCAAGATCATATTTCAAACACTTTTATACTCACATTTATTATTTGTGTGTGTGTGTGTGTGTGTGTGTTCTAGTAATTTAATTAAATATATAAAATGAATTTATTTCAATGCAAATCTGAATCTGAATGTTGCAATATTCAAAAAGTTAATGAACTGCTAATCAACACATGTGCATTTCACAGTGATGGGAAAATGCTGATATAATTTCATGAAAGATATCCATAGCAGCAATATATTTAAGGAATCACTGTCTAGTTAGTAGAGTATGCCAGGGCATCAACGATAGTTGGAAACGTGGGATAATTTGTATTATCAAATTGTCATAAATTATCCCACGTTTCCAACTATCGTTGATGTCCCTGGCATACTCTACTAACTAGACAGTGATTCCTTATATTTCCATTTCATAGTGAAATAAAATTGTAAATTTAGATTTTAAAAATGTAGACTAATAGATTTAAATTACACGAGGCCTCACATGTCAATTTCAATAGTCCCCGCCCACTGACGTCAAACACAAAGCCGCACGAGAATTACAAGCATATTAGGCCTCCTTAGAGTCAGACACAAAGACAGCCGCACGAGAATTACATGCATATTAGGCCTTCTTAGCTCCTGACCTTTCGCTTGGCGAAATTTGCATTCCGTTGGAATGATCAAGAAATCAACTCTCCTAACTTTCAAAGAGTTATCACAGAGAAAACAAATAGAAATGGAAATATATAAAAATCATTTCCCATTATCTACGTATTCCAAATTTTGTACTGAACGTATTTTAGGGTATTTAGCAGTTTAGTGTAAATGTAGCTCACGGAAGATTTTAAGCAACCGCGATTACATCTAACAGTATTATGCATTACTTTACAGAAAAGTATATTTTAGCTCGGCGTTACGGTTTTAGTACATTGAAACAAGCAAAAAAGTATGACACCAAAATATAAATCATGCTATATTAGATCAAGGGAAAAAACAGTTCGATTTTTTCGGAATGGAAAATGGTTGACCAGTAAATTACATGTAACAATACTAACAACACATTTTGTTTATTGCGCAAATACTTTAATTTCAGGTCATGGATTCTGAATATTTGCTTTTCAAAGATTAATTGAATCGAAAAAAAAATTGAGTTTTAGCATCAATATATATATATATATATATAAAAATAGAGTAAATCAACTAAAAATACATGTATATGGAAAAAGTTCAATTATAATAACTCAGAGTTGTATATGTGATAGTTCGATCAATTACTATTCACTCCAGTTCTTAATGTTCCTTTCTGACACAAAATTCCCGGATGGGCTCTTGGTTCCTGGTGGAAGTAAGGCCAAATACAAAGGCGTATCAGCACCTTGATCGATAGTTTTATGACCTTTGTGTGATGTCATATCTGTATCAACATAACCGGGGCAACAGGCATTAACGATGATGTCTTCCCGTGGGTCTGCTGAAAGTTGACGATTCTGAATTTCAGAGAGTACCGTAACCCCAACCTTGGACATGCCGTAAGCGCTACTTGGATATCCTTTGCTTTCATGATTTCCGTTCTTTGCTGCTTGAATAAAATCATTCATCAGGGCCGTCAATTCTTCAACTGTTAGTTGGGGATTGCGGAATTTGGATTGAATTTCCTTACTACATTTTTTGATCGCAGCACTGGCCATACTTGATACGTTTACAACTCTTGCGTGCGGTCTTAAAAGAGGAAACAAAGCTTCACAGACAGCAAGGGTTCCAAAGTAATTCGTTTTTATGGTAACCTCTGTTTGTTCAGCAAACGGGGCGGTTGAAGATTGCTTGTACGCGATACCAGCATTGTTGACAAGTATGTCTAAACCTCCGTAAGTGGTTCTGAGAAAATCTCTCAGACGATTAATGCTGGCTTGGTCGTTGATGTCAAGTTGATGGAACTTTGGAGATAGTCCTTCTGAGTTTAAGCTTTTGACGGCCTGCTTACCCAGTTCCTCATTCCTGGCAGTGAGATACACATCTCCATCAAACTTCTTACAGAGACCCCGAACAACGGCATACCCTATTCCCTTGTTAGAACCCGTCACCTTGAAACAAAAGAAATTCATATTTATTTTTTTTTTCTTTTGCATTTAGCGCTATTTTTTTCTCTTAGTGCTTGAGAAACTACTTGAATAACATCGTTAAAAAAAAAGATTTTTAATCATTTAGATGCACGCGAGTTTTATTGCTGCTTAAATGTCGACAGTACACGTCATTTACTTTTTTACCTCCAGGAACAGAATCTTTGGAAAACTATTTAACAGTTCAATTGTTATATTCTATTTTCCCCGTTTGATATTCAAAATTTAAGGCTGCTAAATTACTTTTAACGAACGACAACAGAAATCAGATTTTTTTTTTTTTTTGTTTAAACGCTGTGCATTAATCAGGTAGATTCTTCGATTTGTTGAAAATGTTTACACAGGTTACCCAAGTGTAATGCCAACTGGACATTTAATGTTTATCTTGGAGTGATAACCTAATATTTGCTTGAATTTTTCTTCGATTTTGAAATATAGCAAGAAACTTTAACGTACACAAAAACTAGAACATGGCCGTAGGAACCGTGGGGCACGGGGGAGGGGGGGGGGGGGTGGCAATAATTTTGCCGATATATAGACTATAAAAAAAAAAACATAGTTACTATGTGCTTGTGCCCCCTCAGTAATAACGTCTCTGATGACCTTTTTTTGTGCTTGTCAAAGAATTTTTGGTAGTTGATAGTGCTCCCCAACTGAAAATATATAGTTGTGCCCCTCAAAGTGAAATTGCTTCCTACGGGCCTACGGGTTTATTTGAACAATTTTGTATAACATATCTGACAAATCTTTTCGATGGTAGCATTATATATGTACAACCAAAAACAATAAAAACTCTTTTTTTTCCTTAAAAAGAAGCTATTTTGCAGAGTCTCGTAAGATACAAAAATACAGATAGACAACCAAAATATTACTTACCACGGCTACTTTCTTCGACATACTTCTAGCAAGAAATGACTGGAAATTAAGAAGTACGTACGGTTGATTTTAAAGGTAAAAGCGCTGTGTTAATTTTTAGGACTTTTGAAAGACTTTGTGTAGATAATATTTATGGTACACCGTAGTTGACATCACACAAAACTAATAACTAAGATACAGTTAGAGTAAAAAGTTTTTGAATTCATAGTTATTTTATGCATTTTTTCATAAACTCAGTCTACTACAAGTAAGACATGTACATATGTATGAATGCAAAACCCTAAATAGACTAATCTCCTGCAAAAGAATGGTTAAATGTCATGTTCACTTTGTTTAAAAACGTGTCGTCAGGGACTATTGTTGTACCATTACTATTAATAAAGTATGTATTGATTTATGTTTTATAACCAATAGTTGAACCATATCATCAAAACTGTTTAAAGCAATATGAGCTGCATTTTTGAGAATTTTATTTCGCTGTTTAAATGTGTTATTATGATAAATTTATATGTAATTTAAACCTTTTTAATCAATTAGACAGAACTAAAGTATTACATTGTTTCAGAATAAAGGATTCTGTACAATCAAATAAGTAGTATTATATATAAGAAACCAATATTGTACAGGACGACAATAATGTAATTTTGCCTCAATCAAAGCTTATATAAATAGTTCTTCCATCGTAAATTTAAACAACAGAAGTTTATAAACAATCTTTTTTCTGTCATTGAAAAAGTTAATTACAATTTTGCAACATAAATCTCTGACATCAAAGTTGCAGCTCATATTGCTTTAAGTGTTTTCAACCAAATGTTATAATTCTTAACATTGAGGATTCAGAAACGGAAAGCTTGTCAAACACATGTCAAAGTAATTTTTAAAAAGCAACCAAAATTATCGAAATAATTGTACCGAGGAAATTAACAATAAGCGGGTTAGAACCGGTGTTTAAGGCCATGTATTGGAAAGATTTTTAAGAACTAAGGTTTTCCATCAAGGTAATCTATGGATCAATAATACAATATTTAACATACTTTCATCCACTTTATACAAATAATTTAAACATATATAGATATAAACAATAAAATGTTTTCCTTGTCTGTTAAAACCTGACACAACTCGTAAATAGGCGTACGCCATATTAACACTGGGGTGTACCCTTCGCACCTGACCGTCTCGGTTTTCTTACATTAGCTTTGCTTACATTTTATTGCAGTTTACATGTACAGTAAAACACGCTTACAACGAATTGCCAGGAACGGACGTAATTCGTTATATAATCTTAAAACCATGGGAAATGTAAATAACTTTGCTGTAAAACGTCAAAAATTAGTCATTATAAGCGAATTCGGTATAAACTAGTTTCACCATATTTGTGTTTGTATTGCACTGACCTATAAAACTAATGTCACTTTCTTTGGTAACTTTTGGTAGAAAAAGCAGTGAGTAATTACTTTTGTAGCGACCCACTATTTTACAAGAACTATGTAAAATATAGTCCTCACAGGTGAAAACTGAAAAGCATATTACACTGAAATTTGACCAAGTGAACGGCTGATATAGGACTCTCGAAGTGACGACGAATACAGAGAAATATTGCCGACAAAGATAGATCTCTGTCTTTTACAATCGTGTTCACTTTAACGCAGGGATTAATGGTTGCAATCTTTGCAGAAAAAATTACCAGTACATCTGCAATGTCACAAACCGTTATTCCTGCATTAACAAACAAAGGATTTTATTGTTGAAATGATGTAAATACTCATAAGATTGAAGCATACTGTATAGGCTTTCTACAAGGTTACATCTGATATAAACTGATATATTAACATTGTTCTCTATTTACCCGCCTGTTTTGTTTTATCTATTTCAATATATACATGTACGTCTTTTATTTAATTGTCATTATTCAAAGAATTCAATGAACCATATCATTAGAGAGGAAAGACGTATTTAAAATATAGTTTAATAAATGTTTTGGGAAAAGCATGTATTATGACAAAATATATACATAACAAGAATTGTAAAATATCAGAAACATTATTTTTCAATAAGAAATTTAAAATGAATAATATATAATGTAGATTTCAACCAAATACTGAATTTGTTTATGTCCGTTTAACCTTTTATAAACAGAAAGAGTTAAGAAATTTGTGTATTTTCACTCCAGCTCTTAACTTTTCTATCCGCTACAAATTCACCAGCTGGACTGGTGGTGCCTTCCGGAAGAAGAGCCAAATAAATAGGTGTATCTGCACCTTCGTCAATAGTTTTTGGACCTTTGTGCGAGGTCATATCAGTGTCTACATATCCTGGAGTACAGGCATTCACAATGATGTTTTCCCTGGGATCTACGGAAAGCTCGCGATGTTGAATTTGTGAAAGAACGGTAACTCCAACTTTGGACATTCCATAAGCGCTATTTGAATAACCTTCCTTCTCGTGATCTCCAGTTTTTGCTGCTTGAATGAAATCATTCATCAAATCCGTCAACTCTTGTTTTGTTATGGCATTATTGAGGAACTTAGCTTGCACTTCTGGGCTACATTTTGTTATAGAAAAGTTGCAGGCCAAGCTGGATACATTTACCACTCTAGCATGAGGTCTCAAAAGCGGGAAAAGTACATCTGAAATAGCCACAGTTCCAAAATAGTTTGTTTTGAGAGTTATTTCTGCTTGCTCCTCAAAAGGGGCGGTTGATGCTTGCTTATACGCGATTCCGGCATTATTAATCAGGATATCAAGACCCCCGTAAGTACCTTTTATAAAGTCTTTAAATCTCTCAATGCTTGTTTGATCTGTGATATCAAGCTGATGATACTTAGGGAAGAGGCCCTCATCATTTAAGCTTTGAATTGCCTTTTTACCAAGTTCTTCATTCCTTGACGTGAGAAAGACATCGCCTTTAAATTGCCTACAAAGTCCCCTTACAATAGCATATCCTATGCCTTTATTGGAACCAGTCACCTGAAAAAATGCAGAAGAAATGAAGTTAACATTTCATAACCATTATTTCAACTGCATTGCTTAAAACAGTAGCCTGCATTTTTTCGAGCAATCAATATAGCATACTATAGCTAAATAAGAATTTGTTTTCAGTAAAAAACATTAACAGGATAAATATGTTTTCTTTATCCGTCAAATCATATAAGCAAAAATCCAGAGGATACAACTTATGAAAATTTTATTTCTATATTCTTAAGCTTTCTCGCTTATATATTCTCATCACGCGTTTGGAAAACCGATCCGATTGTTTTAGACATCTACATAGACATTAATAACTAATTACAACAAGCCAGTAACAGCACATCCTGATTTATTTTAAAACAGAATCAAGATGTTTTTGCTCGATAAATTTTTTTCGATAGTTTGAATATTCATGACAAAATTAAGATAACGAACCGAGAACTAAATGTTATTTAAAGTCTTAATATGCAAAAATAACAAATCTAATTTTTATATCCATATTGACTTTTTTTCATTCTAGAGATTCTGAATTTCAAAAATAACAAATATCACTTTAATGTTATTTGTATATGTATTCAGTATACACCAATTTGTACAATTTACTATTATAATCATTTAAAAATTAGAAATGTTTTGTACGATCCAATAAAAGTCAAGAAAACTCCAAGATCGGATACCACCGGTTATACTCAACTTTCCATATCCAATATGGCAAAAATTTTATCCGCAATACGCTCATCAAGTATACACACCAGTCAGCTTTTATGGGATTAAGGAATCTATAAACACTATTAACTGTTAATTTCTAAACTTCAATGTAGTTTTATGCAATTTGTTTGATCTGTCCTTTAATATAAGATAGAAAATGGAAATTTACAGTAAACGATACAACTTGATATACCTGCTAGATGAAAGTTATAATAGACCAAGACTAAGGTAATTGAATACGTTATTTGCATGTATTTTTCCAAAGTAAGTAAAAACAGTGATACTACATCGTTTTAAACATATTCCTGGGTAAATATGACAGGTAGCCTATGCTGAAAGTGAACTTAATACACCCAGTAAGTACATCCTAATATGAAAATAATCCCCCCCAAAAAATCCAAAAACACTTTTCACTAGACAAGTGCTTATAGCTCTGTTAAACAGGAAACACACTCATGAAGCAAAGCAAAAAAAATGTTTACACCATCTTATGAGTAGATTTCAAATATAATCTCAAATACCATCGTGTTTATTCTGTAGAAATTGTGCATTTAACTTTATACTCGTCCACAAGCTTGTTTCACAGAAACAACTATATGTTTATTACAGACGTGAAATCAGTTTTTTTTTTGTACAAATCGCATACTATTTGTTAGAAAAGTGTACGAAATTTAAAACAAGTATGTTAAGCTTCTACTTCAGGCGACTTCAAACCTATTCAATTTTGACAGATGCGTATTTTATTAATTTTCTTTCCAAATTTTTCCCCAAGACCCGGGGCCGGAAAATTTCTCCGCCTACAATGACGTTCTCCTTCCGGCTACTCTGGTATCCCCTGTCAACACCCTATTAGGGAGAAACCTCAGAACCCTTTCTATTTTTTGGTGTTCCCTCCTATTTCAATTCCTAAGGACAACCCTCTGCACATACCATCAAATCACTTGAATTAAATTTATTTTGTTAAAAAAAACATTCTGATTGTACACAGTAGTACTCTGAAGTTGGTATTAAAAAGATGCTTGAGTTTCTGATTTACAATATCTATGTGGTTTTTGGAGATCAAGTCTTGCAACAATCTGTTGGAATTCCCATGGGTACCAATTACACCCCTTTATTAGAAGACCTATTTTTGTATTCATATGAAGCAGAATTTATTTAAAATCTTATACATGAAAAAAAAAAAGAATTCTCTTGCTGTGGCCTTCAACTCGACATTTAGATATATCGACGACGTATTATCAATCAACAATAGTTATTTCCATTCATATGTCGACACTATATATCCCAGTGAGCTTGAAATAAAAGATACCACAGAGTCTGACACATCTGTTAAATATTTGGATATTTTACTAGAAAAAGACGTTAAAGGTATTCTAACAACAAAGCCTAATGATAAACGTGATGACTTTAACTTTTCATCATCAACTACCCCTCACTTATGCAGCAATATACCCTTATCACCTGTATATGGGGTGTATATCTCTCAGTTGATTCGATACGCAAGAGCATGCGTACGAACAATTTCTAAAATGAGGTAAGTTATTGACAAACATGTTGATGAAACAAGACTATCAACAGTCTCGTTTAAAGTCGATAAAGTTGTATGGTCGATTCAATGACCGTCAGCAAATACAATCTATCATTAAGTCATATGCTGACTGATGTTTTTCATACTAATTGTTAAGCCATTATTTACTGAATTGTCGACGGATTTTCCGCTATTTCCCGATCTTGACAAGGAGCACACGGCGGGTAGGGGATGCTCACTCCTCCATGGCACCTGATCCCACCTCTGATGTTCTTGGAGGTCCATGTTTGCTCTGCTCCCCAGTTGTATTGTTTTAATGGACTTTGAGCTTGAATACTGTTCGTTATCTCCATAATTCATAAATATGTTATAACTTATCAACATTCAGAGGGGTTTTTTTTTACATTGTAACTTGAATTTTAAGGAAATATACACATGATTTTATTTTTTTTCGACTAACCGATTACCATCGTTCCGACCGAGTAACCGGTTAACCAGTCACAAATTTCAATACCTAATTTATTACTATGATCTAGTATGCACTATTAAGAAGTTATGTAATTTACTGATAACTATATGTATTAAGTCTGTATTGTGTAATCTGCATGCAGTTACACACTCATTCCAATAGAATGGTATGTGTATAATGATTAAATGACTTTTAAATAATTTATGCTGTCCATAAACATGATAATAATTATGGTAAACTTTATTTTTTTGAGCAACTCATTATTATGGTTCAATCAAGTTTATTCATTTCTCTGAAATAATTTTTGCTTTTCCTTTACCTAGAGAATTTCCTCCTTGCATAACGCTCACTTTAATTCTATACCTACATCGTCATATTGAACTTGATAGAGAAAAGAACTTCGATATAGGGACGTTTAGCCAGATATCTTTAGAGTCGAGTATCTTATAATCCCTTGTACAGCTCAATAAGCTTTCTATCTTAACCTGCTTTTGTGAATTAAATGCATATTTTGGAATATAAATGTTTGCTACAAAACATTGTTGCAAACTTAAGACATGATTGTACAATTTTATTGTATTCTTCACATTCATACTTTTTTTTTATTTTCTAGTAGTTAGTTACCCGACCCCACCCCTTTTTGCACGAATAACAGAGAGCCGTTATGTCACTAGGTTTACTATGAATTAAGTTTTCCAAGTATAGGTCTAACTTTGCAGACATCCACCGGCAAGTGGTGGCGTCTCAATATGAGTGAAAAATTCTCGAAAGGGACTATATAAACAAACAAACTTATTCAAGAGTAAATTTAGCCTTAAATGTTTCAGATTGAGTTTCAATCGGGATCGCTTCCCGGAAGCATTAGAAAATACACTGTGTTTAAGAAACTCTCTTGTGTTTCTCGAATTTGATTAATATTTCCTAGATGTATATGTATTATTTAGCAGCATGATATATTTCTTCAAGCACAAGAGAGTTTCTCAGACGGAATTTGTTGTTTCCACATTTTCATTGTCATGAAACAATTCTGATTCAAATCCAAATATAATTTTTTGGGGTCAAATGAAGAAAACCCTACTCAAAACATGTCAACAACTCATAAATTAAGATATATCTAAAGCTCTCTAACAAGAACTGGACTAAATTCTAAAAGAGGGTTCTGTGAAAACTTAGTCAATTACATGCCTCATTGCATTAAGGTTGTTATAAGTGCAAACAAGAGGAGTAAGGAAGTACTATAAAGTAAATTATCAATATAAAAACTTTAATAAAATTGCAAAATTTATCATATCTTTTGTTTGTGCTTTTGTATGGTACAATGTAGCTATACATTAAATTTTATTCCAAAAATGTACATTTAATTAGTTCACAAAAGCATGTTAGGGTAGAAAAAAATTTGAGCTGCATAGGGAAAACTATTACATTTTATTATTTTTCCAATTCGACGCAATACTATTCAAATTTAGGATTTGGTATGAACAAGAATTATCCATTAAGAGGGAGTAAAAAGGTTTAACTAACAAATCTATTTCTTTACAAATATTGTGGCTATTTTAGAGAATAAACAACACTAAAACCAAGCAATACTTTTATTTCTCCAACATTTTAAAGCTATAACATAAAATCAGTTTACAAATTTTAAATTAAAAGAATTGCATTTTTTTTAATCTCATGGTTTATATGTACCGATGTATTCGTTCCACTTGTGAATTTTCCTATCTGCTACAAAATCACCAGCTGGACTTTTGATCTCTTCTGGAAGAAGAGCTAAATATATGGGTGTATCCGCGCCTTCGTCGATAGTTTTCCTACCTGTTTGTGAGGACATATCGGTGATTACATGTCCTGGACAGCAAGCGTTGACTATTATGTCTTTTCTTGCATCTGCAGAAAGTTGCCGATTTTGGATTTGTGAGAGCACAGTGACACCGACTTTGGCCATCCCATATGCGCTTTTTACATATCCGTTATTTTCAAGATCACCTGTTTTTGCATTCTGTATGAAATCATTCATCAATCCCGTCAACTCTTCCTTTGTTATATCAGTATTAAGGAATTTAGATTGTATTTCTGAACTACATTTTCTAATCGCAAAACTGCATGCATCACTGGACATATTGACTACTCTTGCATGTGGTCTCAAAAGAGGGAAAAGTGCATCCGAAACAGTAAGTGTTCCGAAGTAATCGGTTTTGACTGTTGCCTCCGCTTGCTCTCCAAATGGAACTGTTGATGATTTCTTAAAAGCAATTCCAGCATTATTGACAAGAATATCCAAGCCTCCATAAGTGTTCT